AAAACTCCAAGGGAGTACATCAACGTAAAATTAGTTTTTTTGCTGTTTTTTCAAAAATTGTAACCTGATCCTTTTTACCCCATTGGCGGGGTAATTGGAACGGCCAGAAGGCAAACAGGTCCAATGTCTTACTTTAATTTTAAAGGAATTTTACAAAAAAAATAAATACATTATTCAACCAATGCAAAATATAAATTTAATGGGTGCATTTTTTACGGAATAACACTGTACACAACCTTGATCTAGTATTTTGTCAGAAATATTCATCAGCAGATTTGGAATAACTAATTAATTTTTCTCATGTAAAATTGCTCATTAAAACATAATTGTTGACATAAATAGTACGACATACGTATAGAATAACAAAAGAATAATGTAATATGTGTGAGTAGATTATATATTGTGGAAGAAATAGTGATATACAGAGATGAATATTGTAGAGTGTATTTAGAGATAATAATCGAGTGATTAAAGACGAACCAAGTTAGCAAATCAGAAGTGGGGGTAACTTACATTGAGATCAGAAAGTGCGAGATTATATATATATATATATATATATATATATATATATATATATATATATATATATAAAAATAAGTCGGATCTTCCTTCCGGACGATATAACTCCAGAACGCACGAACCGATTTCGACAATTTTGCATTCGTTGGAAAGGTCTCGGGTTCCGCAGGTTTATAGCTAAGAAAATTAGTGGTGCATGGCATCGTGCCTTAATGCAAATTGCTGGAACTTCACGCACTGTAATTAAAAATTCGAGTAATGACATTAGTGAGAATTATCAGAATTATGCTTGGTTAAGTCAACGAGCAATTCTTGCCGCAAAGAATAATGATGTACACGCACTGAATTTCACCATTCAATAAAAATTGCTGGCAATTTGGTGACATACCAATGGTTCCGACTTGTCTTCCGTTTGACTTCAAACGATTGCAATTTCCAGTTCGCCTTGCGTTAGCAATGACAAGTCGCAAAGCCAATCGCTTAGTGTTTGCGGGATAAATTTCAAATAGATTATTTAGAAAATCATTGTTTTTCACATGGGCAGTTATACGTTGCCTGTTCACGAGTTTGGAAACCATTCGCTTTGTTTGTGTTAACGTCAAACCAAAAACAAAAAATGTGGTTTACCAAAGAGCACTTCAATGAAACGGATAATTTACGGATTCACTTTGATTTACTTAGAGAAGTTTAGCTAAAAAACACTTCATTTAATTGAAGTAAATTCATTACTGTTGTGTAATATAACCAAATTTTTCCTTTTCAAATATAAAACAAACAAAAAATTTCTTCATATTTCTCACGAAACCATCTGGTGGCGAAACGGAGTTTGTCGGGTTTGCTAGTATATATATATATATATATATATATATATATACACTTATTATTCGAATGATTTCAAGATATGTTTAACAAAAATCACGAAATATCAGTGGGAGAGGTAAGGGTCCAGTAAGATATCACGTGTATTTATTTCTTACCTAATTTAAAAAAAATCCAACCAATTTATCATTTTTTCTCGTAACTAAAAATACATGTAATGTTTGATGGGAGAGGGGTGGTAATTTTGAATATCACAATGTATCACCAAGGAGGAGGGGATGTGGTAATTTTGAATATCACGACGTATTACCAAGGGGGAGGGAGGGTCCAAAAATCCTTAAAAAATTGATCACGTGATTAATGTTAGAAGCCAAGTTAGAAGCCGATCTTTGACAGGTTTCAATTTTCTTTTCTATTGGCCTCGAATAAGCTACCCTGCAGTCTAAAAGACAAATTAATCAAAATTTCATCAAATACTTGGTAATTATAATTAATTGATGAAAATCGATAGTACTGGCATCTGTTTATCGACTTGAAATATTTACAGATAACAATAAATAAGGCCCCAAAAACATAAGAAAACGACCCTCAAAATAAACTTTTGAAGGCGCGACATATATTTGAACTGATAACTGCTTCAAGACATTGACAATGACGTACAACTGTCAGGTGTTGTGATTGTGATGTTATACAGTCGTAAAAACGTTATCAAAACTAGCCAATTTTTAAATAGGGTCACTGTATCATTTTGTCCAAATATACCGGTTGGGAAACTTTTTAATCACTACCCCTTTTTTTTCTCTAAGTTGATATTACCCCATGGCGAATCAATATTACTTCCATACGAACAACTACGTAGTAAATACAGTAAATATTAATTTAAAATATATACTTTTTACTTACAAAATTTATCCCAATTGGGGTAAATTACCCCGGTTCCCCAACCACTGATATGTACCATTTTGTCCATACTTCCACTATATGATTAGATGCGTTCATAAGAAATTTAAAAACTAATGTGTATATGTGTAAAATGTGTAAAACTGATTGTTTAATTGACTTTACTCTTTTTCAGCAAAAAGAAGAGCATTTGGTGAGTATTTTTATATTAATCATACGATAAATTATATAATTATATTTTTTTTTGTTATTAAGTAATTTTTTTTAAATCATATCTTCCCTATTCAAATGTTTTCATAATCTTAAAATTGTTAATAGTAGATAAAATAAGTATTTAAAATAAATCTAATATCAGGTGCATATTTTAAATATTTTGCAGCCCAATCGTTGAATTAAAAAAGGTTAAAATAGAAAAATTCTTTATTCTATTAAACATTTCGACACTTAATGTGTGGTATAATTCAGTAATCTAACAATTACAGTAAATAATATATTTATTTGAAAGGTTTATTAGTAGTGTTAGTATGTATGTGAAAAATTAACCAATAGTATTTTTTAGATCCTTTCCATATGAGTAATGAATACGGTGCAAGATTTCCGATGGACATTTCATATAAAGGCGGAAACAATGGCCCGTATCAGTACCATGAACAAGGTAATTTCGGATAAAAAAATTCTTCTAAAAATATAATTTAGATTATTTATATTCGAAACTATATTATTTAGTTTATTCAATTCAGATACATAGCAGGTAAATTTTAGAAAAGTAGCATGAGGGTGCGGTGGACAGGAGTGGGCCACGTTTTTTGGTTGTAAAATGTTTAAAAATAAAAGTTTTTTTAAATTTTTTTATCAGTTGCAAGGGAATTCTAAAATGCAACTTTTTTCACAGCAAATCCTCGCAATTATGTTTGGAGGTATTTCTCTTTTTGAATGGCATAAAAAATGTATTTACCGTGCTTCCCGAAAATGTAGTGAGAATTGGGCCACCCAAATCTTTATCTGAAAAAATGCTGCTATATGCTACAAATTTTTACCCTGAGGGTTTTCAAATGCGCTGATTAGATTACGAATTTGTGGTCAAATTTACAAAATTCGAAATCGTTAACACGAAATGAAGGGTAGAAAATAAAAAAACAGTGACTTCAGTAATGATGTTCTTTTAATGTCTGAAAAAAAGGAGTAAGAAAAGTTGGAATGATAAAATTGTTGAAAAATTATTAAAACATTTTAAATTTCAGTAGTTTTTATTTTTTTTTTGAGCTCTTAAATATTATATATATGTATATATATATGTATATATATATATATATATATATATATATATTTAGATATATAGTAAATAAATTTGAATTGGTAATTGATACGTATTTAACTGCATCTAATGATCGGGCGTAATATCAATTAAAAATGGTATATATATATATATATATATATATATATATATATATATATAACATATCGATAAATATTGCTAAACATATTTCCATAAATTCAAATTATATATTGGAATTATTTGAATATTGCTAAAATTATTTAGTAAAAAATATTTATATAGTATATTTAGCAAAAAATATTTTCTTTCCTTCTACTATTTTTTTTTTAATTTCAAGTAAAATAGTTCTGATGAATTGTCCTTGTTTCAATAAAAAGTGATACACCAATAGTTAATTTTTAATTAAATTGAAATACATTTTTTTAGACAGTAAATATCCGGAAAATGTCCGCACTGCAAATCGCATCACTAGAGAAATTCGGGATTATGTTTTGCAGTATTACCGGCCGAAGTTTGAGAAAAATCGCACAGATGCAAATTACACATATCAAAGTGAGTATTGAGAAAATGATATATTGATATATGTACATATATACTTGCTGACCCGACAGATATTACCTCGTACACACGCCCACAATTAAAAATAAAATAATATGGACCACTTCGATAAAAGTCATTATATGCATAATTATTTTACCTAGATATACTTTTAAATAGATCATATTGCTGCCAAGAATTATATATGTTGCTATATATTATATCATATAACATATAGCAACATATAGAATTATTCTGTGCTACATATAAATGATTTAAGGGGAAGTCTCTTAGTGGCGAACACCTAAGGTTATTTATAAATAAATCAAAAAATATTTTACGAAATGTTTATTAAATTATGATTTATGGTAGATAACAAAGTAAGAAATCAAACTAAATTAATAAAACCGCAATTTTTGCTAAAAAATAATTAATACTATCAATCAAACTTTGGTATAAAAAAATATGATTTTGAACAGTGGCACCTAGTACCGGACATTTCAAAATAACCTGAATTGATCACGTGTGTAGCCATCTCCACACTCTATTGCAAAAAAAGTAACTTTTCAACCACCCTTTTGGCTGGGCCACACCGATGCTCTCAGCTAATGCATTAACCATAAACTTTTCATTCTTTGACTAGGAAATACGAAAAATGGGGGTATGTAGTAACTGTTAGCACTAATACAGAACAAAATTAAATAATTGGAATAAATTACGTAAATTCACACAAGAAATATTAATATGTTTACTGTCCGGCACTAAGGGACGACTTAGTGTCCGGTTCTAAGGGACAGACATTTTCGTTCATTTGGTGGCACCTACTAAAATTGATTAAAAGATCTAATGATATTGTACCATTTTACGGATAACAATCAAGTGCAACTTTTATTTTTGCATATCACTTAAATGTAAATGCATAAATATGATAGAATTGCTTTCATTGATATTTAGGTGACGCCGTGATTTTTTGCTTAAAACAGCAAACGATTGCTCCCGCCATGGCAGTGTGAGTCAGAGGCGAAGTTGGCGCGTGATCCTGTACATGTGTGCCTTTTTCACTTGTATTTTGAAATGAAAAGATTTATACTCGCTTAAATAATACGCGTTAAATAGAGTGTCCGATGCTTGGTGCAGTCCGGCGTTACGAGACTTTCACCTATATGTGCCACAAAGCGCAATTAAAGAAAAAAAAATTAAATATTAACATTTTTACCTCTATAAAAATTGAAACGGATATTATAAAAGATTGTATATATTATTTATATATTTATCTAAATAAGGAGAAAAAATTATTTTTAAATAAATTAAGATTGAAAAAACAAACAATTAAAATTCTCATTAAAAATATATTAGTAGAGATAATATGTTTATTACATACTGATAATACTTTCTGATGGGCATTCATTCAAATAATAAAATAAAAAGAAAACTAAAATATGTTTCCTAAAATAATTGTATAGATCCCTACTTTTCGAATCCAAATTAGACTCTTCCTCGGTGGAAGAACTCACAACAATTGTTCTGAAGTAATATTTTCACTGATTATGTTTTTATTTAACTTGTGTGGTAAGTTTCTATATTTTATTTCATTTTCACACTAAATACTTTTATGTTAGCTTTGTTTATGTGTGATTTTTCTTGTTGTTTTTTTAGTTCTAGTTATGTTCCACTGAGCACAAGTCACATTGACACTCGAAACGAATTTATTTTCAAAATTATTTTAGTTTTTTTTTCTGTTTTGTTATTTGATTGGATGGCTGATAAATGGTATAAAATTATATTATATGACTCAAAAATAAAAATATAATTGTGAAAAACTATGAAAAACCTCTTTGTTAGTATAAAAAAGTTTCATCCTGCTGCAGATATAATATATAGCTTGAGACTGTTTTCTATTACTGTTATTATGAGTATTTCAGAAACTTTATCTGTGTTTTTAATAAATAAATAAAATAAATAAAAATAATAAATACTGTAAATATCTACATCAATTTTTTACTCGCGTTTTTATTAAAAATGCTTTTTTAGTTTCGTATTTGAAATAACATGTAAAATATTTCTATATGTTTATTCATGTATCAAATATTTCTAGGTGGCCAATTAAATAAAAATATTTCTCATTTTTTGCATTTTGTACCGGATATAGACATTTTCAAAAAAAATGAAGCTGCATTTTGTTTAGGTGAGTGGTGTACTATTATTATTATATTTTATAAATGAAATATTATATTTTTGATTTAAAGTATGTTTTAGTATTATGCATATTTGTCGTTGGAATTGCTATGTTAGAAACCCCAATATATTAGATAAAATAAAAAGAAATCCATTATTTTTGCAAAAATTGAAGGGGTTTAATTACCATAGTTAGAATGATCCGATTTATGTCAATTATACGCCCTTTTATTCGAGAACTTGTTGCCATTTTAAAGGTAATATCATTATGCTTCTATCATAGAAACCCTCGTCCCTCGAGATAAAAATTTAAACAGTCGACATTCACAAGCTTCTCTTAAAGCAAATTTTTTACCAGCAAAACTGTTCGTTACGGTTTTTTTTTTCAGTATAAAATAATTTTTGCTTTCATCTTACTAATGCCGCCTAGTAGAACTCTTTCGAGCTTATACAATGCTAAATACAGATAATCAAAACCCACTATTGCAAAAATAATGGGTTTTCTTTACTTTACTATATATATATATATATATATATATATATATATATATATATATATCATTATAGATGATCGGTCTGCAGATATACCTTCCGACGAGTGCATTAATACGGAAAGGGGTATCCTAATTGTCAGTAAGTAACTAAATAAGTAATCCGTAATAGCAATTACAAAGGCACAAAAATGTAAAAAAAAAATTCTATTAGAAACGACTAATTTTTTATATTATATATTATATCCTAAAACAATACAACGTAAAAAACTATTAAATAAAGTATACTTAAATATTATATTAAGGTCTGAAAACTATGAGAAGTGTAAGTTAATTAAAAAACCTCTGTAGCAGAGCACTTAACTGTGTTTGGAACTAGTTGTAGAATCTACCGGGGCAATCAACCCCAGGTTTTAAAAAAAAAAATTTACATTAATCATGATATCTATTTGAACTAATGAGAAATCACAACAATTGTTAAATAGTATTAAGAACCAATAATATTGATGCAAATTAAGATATATAAAATTGAAAATTAGTGGATAGTGATAATAAACGCATACCGAAATTTTGATTGTACAATTTTATATTAAATGCCAAAAATGTCGGACCTGCACAGTTCCTTATACATAAATACATATATATATATATATATATATATATATACAATCAAAATTTTTATTCACTAGGTTTTCTGTACTTTTAGCTAATTCGCCTCGAGAATATGATTCATCATCAGTTAATCTTCAGAACATCAATGACGAAGTGAACACTAATGATGTTAATGGTAAAAGAATTGCTATTAGTTCTTAGTTTTATTTGAGAAGTGTATAACTAATACTTATCACATTGTACTTGATAACAAAGCATCCGACTCACCAACATTAAAAAAAAATTTGAAAATTAAAATTTTGTTTGATAGAATTGTATACTATGCAAAAAGAATGAGTATATTCTAAATTAATATTTCTTTAAAATGCTGGATTCAATCAACGTCTGTAATTAACTTTCCGAAAGAAAAGTTTGTTCGATTTGCTAATTTGATCCAAGTCATTCTGAATCGAATGAGACTAAGGGACCGATTCAGCAGCATATTAGACCAATGTTTTGGCAAGACTGTGTTATGTAGAACTTTACATACAAAATCGTTCTAAATATTGCAAAAGCCATGTGGTTGCTGTGCGGTCAGGCGTTTTTATCAGGTTGTCAGACAAAAAAACGATCTTAGATAACGGGGTCTTTCTGACCCTGCTTCATAGCATACAAGTGACGATGCAGTTTATGTTGCAGTACTATGCAAGTTGAAGCGTAACATGGTCTTGCCATAACATTGGTCCCAAAGTTTAGAAAATTTTGTGTACCTATGTTTTTTTTGTATAGCGAAGAAAATGCGTTTATGCCTGAGCGTAATACCGACTAAACTTTATTAGGAAACCGCCGTTAGGCATTACTTCATGGGTGGAGAAACTAGAATGCTATAATTCTTGCTCTAATATTATACTTCTTTGTGAGTTTTTAAGTTTCGTCGATGTTTCTAAAAACTATTTCCAAAATTTAAAAGCCATTCGATTTATCTGGACTATCGTTGGTCAGTTTTGCGCGACAATCAGCCAAGCCGCTTCTTTATGATTTGCAGAAAAGGGTAAAATTTTACGTCAACATTTTTGTAAGTTGGGTATAAGTATTAAACCTTTTGTCCACATTTAAGCTCATACTACCGAATCGATTTTAAAAACTCAAAAACTGTTCGAAAGACATAAGTTGAGAATTATACTGATTAGTTTTAGGTGAAAATCTACAGAGCCGTTTTTTTGTAATTAACTGTTGAAAAAAAAAATTAAGCCAATTTTTATGGAACTTTTTTTGGCGATATATATATCATGGTCTTATAGAACTTACTGAAATATTACGGCCTTACGACAAGTAGTTTAATTTTTAAAATTCATCGAAGTTTGAGAAAATGAGTAGATTTTTTGCGTTTGTTAAAATTAGATGATTTACTTGGCACAGCGATGGAGTACTTGGTCTTAATGAACATACTAAACTATTAAAGTCCTATGGAAATTGGTTCAATTTTGATTTTTGAAAATTTGGTTTTAGAAAATACTCCGAATTAACGCGTTCGTTCGTTTTCAATTATGTGTAATAAATCCACTCGGAATACTTTTAATCACTCATAAAATAATTTATTTTTTATTGATTAAGTCGATTGTTTACACATATCGGGAAGTTCATGTAACTTGCCTCAAGGTAAAATACCAATACTAACTAGTTAGAGTTTACGTCCACACTTAAATAATTTTTAGAATCGAATCGTGTCAAATTATTTTATACGATTACATATGTTAGAAATATATTTGAAAGACATCAATTGAAAAAGGTATTAATTTATTAGTGTTAGCGAAAATTTTATTTTCGAAATAACAGTTGAACTTTTTACTCTAGCTGAATCTCGATTCTTATTGATTAGGTTGATTATATGAACGTTTATTATTATTCTGTTATTTATGATTTTTTCTTTACGATTTAGCTGAAAAATTCGACGGTTTCAGTTATTTTCCAATAGCAATACGTTCTGGTTAAATATTTGATCAATGCATTATGTTTTCTTGTAGCAGAAACAACCGAGGATTTTGCAACTCTTGTGAAATCACTTGGAGAAGGAAGACGTGTTATACGACAGGATCCTGAAGGCGAACCTGAACCTGAGGGCGAAAACGGAGAAGGTGGAGAAACTACGCCAGAACCTGCTGAAGAATGTGAGTGCCATTTAGAAATATTTAACTACCTAAATGCAAACTATAATTCCTTCGATATTGTCAAGTTGCTATTATAAAAACTCAATTTTAATACGGAGTTTGCCAAATTAAAATCTTAAGTTTTGCTAGGTTGCGTAGTAAATGAAAAACAAAAGACTGAAGAAATTTATTTTTTACGAGAATCAACATCATAAATAATTAACTTCCCGAAGGAGAAGTTTATGTTTTCATCAAAAAATGCGATTCTCTAATTTTATGTTTTCTCGACGTTTCAAGCCATTCTGAATCGAATGAGACCAAATTTGGAAAAAGTATGTGTGTGTGTGTATGCGTGTGTGTGAACAGATTTTTTGCCGTAAATCGACGTTTTCTCAAAAACGGTTGGACCGATTTCAAAAAAGCCATTCGATGTATTTCGATGAGGACTATCGTTTCTGAGTTTTGTGTGACGATCGGCCGAACCGTTTCTTTGTAAATCGCAGAAAAGTGAAAAAAAATTCGTCTACGTTTTAGCCCGCAATTCTTAATAGATTTTGAAAATTCAAAAACCGTTCGAAAGATATTGGTTGGGAATCGTGCTGATTAGTTTTTGGTAAAAATCGGCCGGGCCGTTTTCTTGTAATAAAGTTTTTTTTAAAAAAAAATCGACGATTTGTTTTATTATTTTTTTGACGGTAGATACCATAGTCTTCTAGATCATACTAAAATATTACGGCCCTACGACAATTGGTTTAGCTTTGAAAATTCGTCAAAGTTTGCAAAAATTGGTATCGTTTTTTTGGCATTGTCAAAACCAGACCATTGATCGACGTTTTCTCGCCTGAACCGATTTCAGAAATTTAAAAACCATTTGATGTATTTCGATGAGGACTATCGTTTGTTAGTTTTGTTCGACGATCTGCCAAGCCGTTTCTTCGTAATTTGAAAAAAAGTGTTAAACTTTTCGTCCACATTTAAGCTCATCCTACCGAACCGATTTTAAAAAATCAAAAACTGTTCGAAATATATTAGTTGGGAATGGTACTGATTAATTTTAGGTGAAGATCTACCGAGCCGTTTTCTTGTAATAAACTGTTGAAAAAAAAATTTAAGCCGATTTTCATGGAACTTTTTTTGGTGATATACATCATGGTCTTATAGAAAAAATACTGTAATATTACGGCCTTACGACACGTAGTTTAATTGGCGAGGTACAAAGGCCCGATGAGAGTTTTAGTAATTATAATGTGAAAACCTAACAAGCTATATCAAACAAATAACACATAGCAAATAAACAACTATCTAACTATGTTCAGTGAAATTACCAGCTAATTCATCGCTAGGTTTTTAACTTCACTTCAAAAACCGAAAATAAAATTTGTTGTATATCTTAAGGTTTTAGAGGTTTCTGAACGTTATGGAATACTATAGAAAAAATTAATGTGTGTGTATGTAGTATGTATATATGTATGGATTCTAATTCTTGTAGACGTTTACGGGAGCATCGCTCAACCGATTTGAAAGATTCAAAAAACATTCGATTCCTATTGATAAGAAGACGTGCTGGTTAGTTTCTGGCAAAGACAAGGTCTTTGCCTTATAGAAGATACAGAGCAAAAAATGCTAAAAATTACAGTTTTTTAGAAAACAGAGCTTTTGATTTGGATGTTTTCATGAAACAATAATTCAATTATTTGAAGATATCTATTTAAAACTTGAAATATATTGAGTTAACTACTTAAAACTACAAATAGTAGTAACTTACGTACAATAAACATAATCCACTCATTTATTTTTATTATTAACTTTCCGTAGGGTAAGTTATAGAAATCGCAAAAAAAACGAAAATGAAAATTTTTATATATCTTTACGTTTCGAAGGTTTCTGAACATTCTGGCATACCTTTGAAAAAATGGATGTATGTGTGTGTGTGTGTGTGTGTGTGTGTTGAACACGGTATGTGTATGTGTTTGTGTGTGTGTTGAACACGGTTCAACTGATTTCAATGATTCGAAAAACATTCGATTCCAATTGATAAGGAGACATCCGATTTTAGATTGATACGTCTGATTAGTTTTTGGCAAAAGCAGGTCTAGCCGTTTCGTAGATGAGGGGCAAAAAATGGCAGAAACGGTAACGCAGTTTTTTAAAAGAACGAAGCGTCCGATTTTAATAATTCAAAAAATATTTTACTTGTGTTGCCAAAATGAAGAACTGTTTAAAATTTTGGGAAGATCTAGTACAAAAAGAATAAAAAAGCCATTTGGCGGTCGAAAATGATCATTAGACATGCGCACATCAAATTATCAGATATTTTACGAAGATTTTAATAATAAGTTTAATTAAATTTTATTAACATTTCTAGGGGTTATGCTTCAATATTTCGTCTCTATGCAGCTGTTTTAAAATATTTTAAAACATTTTTTTTTCATTCATTTTTTCAGAAATGCCACTTTTTTCAGTCCTTTTATTTCAAGTCATTTTTTTATCAAAAATTAAAAATTTCTCAAAAATGTAAAATTTTAAAGTATGCTTTAAGACACGATCCCATGCACCACTAGTTTTTGATCATATTGTCATATGATGTTTAGTATTACAATAGGTTTTCGTGTATTATGTGTGTATACAATGTTCTCAATTTTTAGTTCTACACTTATAAATATTTTGCTCATAATTGGTTACTGTTCATACCTAAAAGGTTTACTACTGGGTAACCTTTTAAGCTTTTCATTTATTCACTACCTACAATCTAATTACTGAATGTCTCTTGGGGACAGGTTGTAATTTATATGGATAAAAATATTTTTGTTTTGTCATCTCTAAAAGATAAAAATCTACGAATTTTTATCTTTTTTTAGTACAGTAAACCCTCGCTTTACGCGGCAAGTGCGTACCGTGCAGTATGGGATCCGTGCTATAAGAAAATCGTATTTAACATACAATTCAGGCTAATTCGTAGTGCGTTCTATGGAACCTTACATAGTGCAGTATGGGAACCGTGCTATGAGAGACTCAGAGTTGGTACAAATCGCACCATTTTTATCGCGTTGTATGGAAACCAAAAAATACAACTTGAAGTAGGAGAAATACGGACGAAATGATATGTAAGACATTGACACCTTATTCAAAAATTGGCGCGACGCAGTAGTCAGCTCAAACGTGTTCTTAGGCGGCTATTATACAATCAGGCATGTCTAAAAGATAAAAGTCGATAACAAAATTTACATCAATACCCTTTTGCACAACGAACTTATGGGTTGTTGACCAAATACCGTGTAATAAGAAGTCCGTGTAGTCGGAGGGATGTCGGATTTTTAGCTCCGTGTAGTATGGGAACCGTGTACCCAGAGTGCCGTGTAAAGCGAGGGCCTACTGTATATTGTTTGCGTAAATCTAACCAAGATCATGTTTCTTGACAGATTTCCTGAAGATAGTTCCGAAAAAATTGTTTTTAAAAAACTTTTTTCCTTTTACTTTTGGACACTATTCGAAACTCTACAAATATATATATATATATATATATATATATATATATATATATATATATAAAACTATTCTCTGTGTAGTTTACCATGAAGAGTATACTCCTGAGCTGGTCGCAAGTGCTAAAATGCTGTTTGAGATTGCCATAGCAGCCAACATCTTGATCATAGTTCTACTTGTGAGTGACATTTTCAATCAATCGATATTGTTCTATGAATATTTATTAAAACTAAATAATATTTAATACTCGTTCTTTTTTATACTTGATGCTTCTCTTAAATTCGAATATTTGAAAATATTTATCTTTTCAGGGACTGTTTACCATGCTGCGCGTGTTCAACTTCCAATACATGTATGTCGACTCCTGCGTCTTGGACATGTATGAGGACAATTGCTGCACGACGTCCAGCCATAGCACCAGGACCGATTGTTGCGATTAAGAGATTTGATACGTTTGCCCTTCTTTCATTTGAAAATGATACGCAATATATCACGTCATCGTTGTGAATTTTATATATATATAATGTTATTACTTCTTGTGGTTTTTTAGATAATTTTGTTAAAAATTCATTGTTCAAGAAAGGGTAACTTAAAAATATTACTAGATTTCACATTTTTAATTGTTGCTGAAGCAACATTATTACTTACTGTATGTGCTATTCAACAAAATTGTTTTTGTCAAATTACTGCATTGTGAATACAATTATTAACAATATTGATTTATCTGCATCGAAAAACAATAGATTTTTTTTGTGCTAACTTCTCATCTTCAATCTGTCCTTTTCTTAGCAGCCAAAATTAAAAAAAAATACCCTATTTATTATTTGATAATTTTTTTAATCAGAAAACAACCATTATTTTCCCATTTTCTAATAGTGATTAATTAATATTTAAGAAATGCATTAAGATCTTTAATTTCAAGTGAATGTGGATATCAATAGAGCTTGATTACAGGTTACGTTTTTGATTTTTGTGTCATGAAAAAATCAGAACAATGTAAAAGTCAAGTATACATAAAATTAGACAATTGGATTTTCATGAGAAATTCTTCTGCGATTAGAAAAATTTGTTTTTCATATACGCAATATAGTACTCCGCTTAACGCTGGTGTTATATTTCATCAAAGTGGAGCCTGACATGTTAATAAAAGTGTTATAGGAGAAATTAAGATAAATTGCTGGAACTTCCCGCACTATAATTTTTCTATAAAAAAAAGCTTTAACATTATGCGAAAACTTAAAAATCTAGATTCTTATATAATTTGAAATTATTTGAAATATTTAGACATTTTTTTTAAGCAATCGCAGTGTAGCTGTTTTAGAGACGAATTATCGAAGCGCGAAAGCGCCGCGTCGCTGTCGGACGGTTAAATATTGGTACGGAACTCATAAAAATATTAACAAATTCTGTATTTATTATTAAAATCTCTATAAAATGATTTGATGTGCATATATCTAATAATCATTTTTTACCGCGAAATGACCTTTTTTTATCTTTTTTATTGGAACTGCGAAACCGCTAGACCTTTTTTTCCAAAATATAATTAGTTCTTCGTAATTCAAACAACTGAATTACGATTTTTGGCACTTTTTGCCCCGTATCTTCGAAACGACTGAACCTGCCTTAACTAAAAATTAATCAGGATGCCTCCCCATTAATGTGAATCGAATGTTTTTTGAATTATAAATTAGTTGATCCGTGTAGCCGTAATTGTCGACAAAAATTTGTATCTGCACTTACATTCACACACAATTTTTTTTTCTAATAATAAGATATGCCAAAAAGTTTAGAAACCTTTGAAACGTAAAAATATGTAAAACAATGTATTATCGATTTTTTGCGCCTACTTTAACTTACCCTACGGGAAGTTAATAAAATCAAACATCATAAAACGAATATAAACGAATATTAGGTCCATATTATAAAAACAAATTTTTTATTGAATCCAGCTTATTTTGAGCCTCCAATATTTGCCTATTTGTCTAAAAGCATCTAAGTTATTTTGAGTTTTTTCGGCGTTCTTTTATAAATGCATGATAAGTGGATAAAAAGCGATTTGTGTTATAATTTGTCTTGATATTTAACATCTGTCAAAATTTGCATCATTTTCATCAAATTAGTCCACAATTTCAGTCATAATGATCAAAAACCTATTTACAAATAACGTTGAGAATTAATTTGGCTCTTCTTAAAAATCACTACTATTAATCTTTATTCTTTTCTTCTGGTTCAACTGAATAAATTAGATCATCAATAGAAAGACTAGTTACTGTGAATTCTATTTTCTGCGATATAAATAGGTTCGTGTCGATTACACAGGCCTACAATTTTTTTTTATTTGGTGCATCAAATGTTAGAGCTGATTCTTGTAGTATTTTTTGCGCTGATTTCAAATCTTCAAACCATTTTTTTGTATCAGCTCCAGTTTGGAACTTGAAAAGAAGTTGCCGAAACCAGGTCCATTCGAGGTCGTCACGGAACAGAACTTTTCACAGTGTCAACTAATGTCCCAACTAAGGCCGAATGGGTCTTGTAAGTTTGTATGTACAAGTAGGCACATCTCATTAAAATAACATTCTAAATTGTATTACTATTTTGTACTTTCATTCCTTTTATATCATATATCATATCTTGAAAACTAAAGCTTATAGAAAAAAACTAATGTCATTTTTGAAAGCAGCGCCCCAAATATACTTAAAAACAGCATTAAAATCGTTTGCACCATTTTCTTTGTTGGCCTGTGTTATTTCATTAATTCTTCCACGAATTTACCCATATTTTGAAGAATTTTTGAAAAGAAAAAAGAAGCTTGACAAGGCAGAAATGAGCGGAGATTTACCGTAAAATTGTACTAAAAACTGTCAAAATAGTATGTGGTTGCTGTGCGAACAGGCGTTTTGCAGATTAAATGCAACTTCACCTATATATTATTATGACACATCAGGAAGATGCACTTATGATGAGATTGTTTTGTTAACGTTTGTGCGTTTTATAGGTTACGTTTTACATCTAAAATGCCTGACTGCACAGCAACCACATACCATTTTCATAGCTTTTAATACCATTTTATATGAGAAACGTAGCGTAACATAGTTTTGTCATAACATTGGTCTATTTTATGGTAGAATTAGCTGGTTGATGTTTATATATACAAAATATTTTGCGCAGTACGTTAAACTGAAACAAGTCCCACAAATTAATTTCGTAATTTTATGGAAATCATAAATCATTTGGTCTATCGTCAGACGTAGGTGTTCGAACTTCATTCCGTCATGATTTTGACATAGAGAACTCGATATATATTTTTGCGTCATTATGCATAACCGGTTACCATTGTAACACTGACCCACCGAAATACGAAATACGAGTTTATCAAATAAATTTTGACGTGAAGCAACAAATTTCTGAACTCTGAAGTAAATTTCACATTACTCAATGCATTCATCAGCGAATTTCAATAAAATTGAGTAAATATGAGAATACTTTTCAAAATCAGTTCAGGATTTTTGGCTACAACGTGAAAGAGAAAGTTTGCACTTTTGGCTAATTCTGATAAAACGCTTAGCCGATCGTATCAAGAAAAGATATTGATTACTGAAAAAAAAAGGATTAGGGTAATCTTCATCGGGCTGCATCGAATGGGTTTTAAATTTTTGAAATCGGTTCAGCTGTTATAGAAAACATCGATAAAAAGTTAAAAAGAGACTCCACATACATTTTTTTTGTATTTGGTCTTATTCGATTCAGAACAATTTAAAACGTCGACAATACAAATAGCTTTTAATTATTAATTATTTTCTCGAGATTATATCGGATATATCGGATTTTCTCGAGAAAACAAACTTACCCTTCGGAAAGTTGAAAAATCAAAGAAATATATAATATCCACTATAGTAGAAAAATTGAAATATTTGTCCCTAGTTAAATTAGAACTGCCCATATTTATTTTACCCAAATTTAAAAATACATATATCGCGGTGGTTTAGGGTTGTTTATTAATTAAGTTGTTTTACGGTTTTCTCGACAGCCTTGACCAAAATTGTTCATAAAAAATAAATGCAAAATAAAATATAATTAGAAGTATTTTTTTGCAAATTATTTTTAATTTATTCAAAACGATAAAAATTATCATATGTATGCATAGAGAATATAGGTGAAATGCAAATTATAACAATACTAAACATTAGATAATATTATAAAACGAATTTGCATAACAATTCTGTCAGTAGGCCACACGCATATGGAAGTACCTACTGCTCGACGTTCATAAATATTCATGAATATTCGATTGTCCCGGGAGAGGCGCGATATTTATCAGCTGCCGACTTGCAATCCGATAGAAAACGCTTTCGATTGTGAGGATTTACGAAAGTTAAAATAATGCCAACTTTATAAGATGAGGTTCTCCGTGGTATAGTGATTAGAGATATGGGCATCCATTCATATCAGTAGTTTCAGGTTCCAGGTTCTCTATACTCAGCTCAGACAGCCTGATCAAGCAGGTAGTAGAGTCATAGGTTTTTACTTGAAAATATAAATATAATGTTATAAAATATAGGGCACAAAATGCAAATTGCAACATAAATTATGTGTCCTGGCAAGATTGCTGGAAACATTACCATGTTCTTTGCCTTTCCATCTCAAATAATTATATTTGAAATTTTATATAAATAAATGATTAAAACAGGCGTAACAATCAAAAAGACGAATTTTTGAAAATTTTTCCATGCTATTTCGATACAAAACTTTGATTGAATTGCGCACTATCTAAAAGACAATATTAAGAGCTAAAACTTTCAGAGAATTGTTTTTTATCAATTTGGAACCACTTGAGCCCTTGGGAGCAAGGAAATTCAAAAATGTCCATATTAAGGACCACCCTAATATATATTTATAATATTGAATTGCGCACTATCTAAAAGACAATATCAAGAGCTAAAACTTTCAGAGAGTTGCTTTTAATCATTTTGGATATATATACTAGCTGTACCCGTTCACGCTTTGCCGTGATTTAGTTTAAATTAAAAAGTTGAACAAAGATGTGTATTTGTTACATTTAGTTTAACGTTATTACTATCTGTTCAACAATTTACCTATTCAACAATTTGTCTACGAATTTACCTGTAAATTTGTTAGTCAATCTACCATTTTACCGACTTAACAATTTACCTGTCAACCTATTTGCTTGGCGACCCATTTTACATGTCTACCAATTTACCTGTCAACCTGTTTACTCGTCTTGCTATTTGTCTATCTACCAGTTGCCCTGTCTACCATTTTACATATCCTCCAATTTACCTGACCACCAGCTATCCAACAAATTACCTTTTCGCAAACTTACTTGTCTACCAATCCGCCTGTCTATCAATTTACCTGCCATCCCGTTCTAAATGTCTACCAATTGACCTGTTCAACGCCATTTTGCCTGTCAACCAATTTACCTGCCATCCCGTTCTAAATGTCAACCAATTGTCCTGTTCAACAATTTACCTGTTGGACAATTAACCTGTTTAACAATTTATCTACTAATTTACCTATTAACCTGTTTATCTATCTACCATTTTATTGCCATCCCGTTCTACATGTCTACCAATTAATCTGTCAACCTGTTTAATTGTCTACATATTCGTCTGTCTACCAGTTCTTCTCTTTACCATTTTAAATATCCTCCAATTTACCTATCCACTAGTTTACCTTTATAAATTCTCTAATTCACCTTATTTATCTACGCATCATAAAAAAATTAAAGCTCGAATTAATTCTACGTTTTAGTTAGAAAACGTTTGTATGTGAAAAAGAAAAGGGTTGTTTTTTCGGGTTTTCCCTGCAATTATTCGATTTTTTTCTCGCCGTAAGAACCATCCTTGAACTTCAAGGAACATTTAAAAAAAAGAATTGTCCAAATTGGTCCAGGCGTTGTTGAGTTATGCGCTTACCAACACATTTTGCGATCCATTTTTATATATAAGATATATATTATATATATATATATATATATATAAGATATATATATATATATATATATATATGTTTATTGTTTATCTATGAGTAGTATACTACTCATATATGTATATGCATAGTTACATATATGTACGTTTTTGTTTAAATGTAATGACAAGTGATGCATTATCACCATTTTGATATATTAATATTTCAAACAATAAGAACATTAACTTCTGAGCTTTCGGAGGTCTAACTTTTGAATCAATACACTAACCAAACTTAATAATCAACATATGACTTCAAAAAAGTTTCTATAGTAATTATGATAAAAGGATATAAAGTACATCGATATATAGATGAAAAGTATTCAGATACTATCACAAAACCGTAATATCGTATGGATTTTCAAAATTGTTACGAAGTGAATAAAAATATCATAATTATTTTAAAAAATAAATCAAATCTGAATAATGAATTATTAGATAACGTTAAGTTTATATTATGTTTGCTATGTGTTGCCTATTTTATGTTTGAACATAATTCAAGCTCAAATATTTCGAAGATTTTACCTGAAGTAGCAGAGTGCTCAAATTATTCAATATTAGTTTGGAAATTTGTCAAAATTTACGCGACGGTAAATTGTTAGTACATAAATTTCTACCATATAATTGGCATGTTCTTTATAAATATTACTTACTCATAAATCTACATTCTCATCGTTCAATTTTTGTGATACATTTTGATTAACCACCGTTATTTAAATTCATGCGTGCCTAGCGTTGCCCATTTTTTAATTGAAAATATAGATCATAAATATTTTACAATTGAAAATAGTAATTTCGGGCACTGCGTTGCAAATAACAACGGGAAATCTAACACACTTTCTTCCCTGAATAGTATTTGAGTTTAACTCAGTTCACAAACCTGCCTTTTGGCAGTACTACCCATTACTACTGCAAGGTTGCAATCTCAATCGTTCCAACTTAATGTGATTTTCCGGCGTTCCACAAATATAATACATATATTTAGCAACATGTTATGTTTCTCTACAAAATGTGATATAAAAT